TCTTTCTACGTCTCCACTCCTCAACTGTGTGTGTTACCAAGGTATTAACAACTATTCTACAAACATACTCAGGCTTTTTTACAATACTATATGGTCAGAATTTTTTTTTCTGTTTTTTTTTTTTTTTTCACTTATATCATTAACATGAAGTAGGGCTTGGCCTATAACAGATACTTAAAAATATTGGTTGAAAAAATGTATTGGTTGAGCAAGTGGCTTCCCACCCCTGGGAGGTCTATCTGCTTGCAGAGTCTTTCTCCCTTCTCTCCCAGATGTGAACACTTTTTCACCTACTGAATTCTCTCCTTTAAACATGCCTTCCTTCTGTGTTAGGTGTGTCTGTCAGGCGTGACACACCCACAAGGCTTTTCCTGTTCTGTATGAACTCTTTGCAGGACCCTTCTCTTTGTCATAGAAATCTAAGTAGATGTCTTTCCCCGACAGATTGAAAGTTGCTTAAATTTAGTAACCGCATTTTAAAAATAAGATTGTGTTCTGCACAACACCTTTTTTTCTAAACATAAAAATAGATGTTCAAAGATTACTCTGTTTGAAGGAAAAATGGATGGGAGAAAAGTTTTACATTCATCTGAAAACAACTGGAATGGGCATCCCCCCTTGCCTTGTTTTATTTTTCCTGAGATTACAAGAATTACAAAATCATCTCGTTATTTATGGAGCATCTGGTTAATTCCAGACACCTCACTAGCATTGAATGATGGATAAGATTTAAATCATTGTTGCAAGAATTATCAATTCTTCTGATAACCGAGTCCAGTTGGTCTCAGGAGGCACAGTTTTTAGGATACTTTTTAGTTCTCAAGCTTCACTCATCCCATTTCCAGAAAAATCTTTGCCTGTTGGTGCTGCTTGCGGAAAAGGGACCCTGTCTGCCTCGTGCTGCTGTGTGGTGCCTCATGCTGAGGTTTCATCTGCTGGGGATTTGTGCAGGTGTCGAGTCTCTCCCAAGTCAGAGAAAACTAACTTGGAACCAGAAATCAAGGCTTCTGTTTGCTACTTGCCCGGGAGGGCCTTCTGTTATGAGTGTCCAGGAAGAGTTGAACAACACAATATTTAGTACTGTGCTAAAGCATTCACAGAAATTCTATTTCCTAGTGGCATCTAGACCTCCTTGGTATGTAACAAGTTGTCACATTAGCACACTGAGGTTAAGTGAACTCTGAAGTCAAAGCGTCTGCCTCCTTTCTCAGACTCAAGCCATAACTGGGCTGTAGATCTTGAGCCAGACAGAAATGTGACCTGAATTAGTCTGGTCAGTCATGTGCATATGTTATCTCTTCTAGGGGAGAAAATTCTTAGTAAAGTCTTCAGATAAGGAGGAAGGAGGCAGGAAAAACTGGGATGAAAGAGTAGAATAAGGAAGAGAAAACATATTTGTTTTGAGTCCTGAGTGGAATGGAAACTCCAACCCTTCCTTTTGAAAGGCAGGCCTGAGAAGTTCATACCACATTAAGAGGGATCCTGTGTCATTGCTGTTTGGGTTGGGAAACACCCATGGTATTCATGTGGCTAGATTCCAGACAGAGCACCTTCAGCTCAGGGCACTCATAAAATGACAATTACAAGTGTTATACCACCCTGCGTTTATAGATTTATAGTGTGGCATCTGTTCCAAAGCGACTGTGGCACAGATAATTCTAAACAGAAGATACATAAAAGTCACCAGAAAGTCTTATATGGTGCTACAGAGTTTGTTTAACTTATTAGCATATTTTACCTAGCAACTCCTTTATCATGCTTTGTTTTAGGCAAAATCACAATCCTTTTGTCGGGAACATTCCTCAGGTATTCCTCAGGTAAGCACTTGGGTGGCCTCAGGCTTTGGAGCCTTCTCCAAGCATCAGTTAGAGTCTGTGTTCTTTCTCTAAGTTAGCTCTCCTGTAGCCCTGTAAGCTGACCATTCTTTCCTGTTCCAAGATTCCACTTCTTCCCTGAGGCTCTCTCTCTCTCTCTCTCTCTCTCTCTCTCTTTCTTACTGTGTGAACTTGTGCCCTATCTCAGCCTTCCAAGTGCATGCATGCAGCACTGCACCTGGTCTGTGAGGTGTTTGTTTGTTTGTTTGTTTCTTTGTTTTAATGGGTCATTTGAGAGCCTTCTTGGAGAACACGCAGAAGGCTTTTAGACTCCTAAAAAGAAGTGCCAGTGAGTGTGGTTCACACTTATAATGCCAGATGTAGGGATCCTGAGTGAGACCGGAGGAGCATGAACTGAGAGACCTTGCAAAAGGAAGGAAGAAATAGACAGAGGGAGGGGGAGTCCATCTTACTATGCCCCAGGAAGGTGTGTGGAAATGGCTACCACTGTCTTTTCCACTAGAAGCAACAAATCAACTCTCTCCTAACTCGTAAGAGCTGCCCTGTGTCTGGATGCCTTGTTCTGTGAGAGATGGTATCTCCTCATAAGTTAAGTTATTTACAGTTGATGGCTCAGTTACTTATAGCAAATAATCTTCCTTGATTCAGTGGCATTTTCATTTGAAAAATAGAAAGTTGGGCATAAATATTGATACTTAACTTCGTTGTATTTCTGTTTGCCTAAACAACAGTTACAGTCTAGTTTTCTGCCGTGTACTAAGAACTGAGGTGTAGTCAGGATTTTTCTCTCACGAGCGCTTGAGGACCTCATGTTTTACTCCTGAAGTACGGGGCCAGTTTCCTTACCCCGTGGATGAGGGTGTTGACTCAAGTGCTGCCCAGAGATCTTACATCTCACACAGATTCTTTTGACTCATCAGATTAATCTTGCCCAGCGTCGGGGACGCCTCCTTTTCCTTCCTGATTCCAATGCCTTCCGCATCCAGGTGACTTCTTAACTGGATTCTGTCATGTATTTTTACGCCTGATCCAAATATTTGTGGGTGGTGTCCTGTCTGCAATAATGTATATAGTGTTAAGAAGAGATTTCTAAACTGCAGCCCATCACAGGAACTTCCCTCAAGCACGAACTGTATCCAGATCTCTGTCCTGGGGATTCTGGATGCTGCTCTTGTCCAGCTTTGTCTTGGCTTGTGGACGGAATACAGCCCATCCTAGGGACGACTTAGTGGTAGGTGCATCAATGGTAGCAGGAGCATGGGACCCCAGTAAGCTATCATGGGGGCAGTCACAAACTGCTGATTGTGACCCCGCCCCACAAAGATCCCACAGCCTCCGAAACAGTGACTCTCCGGGATCGAGTGATGAGGCCCAGGAGCCTGCACTGGGCAGTTCACACTCAGAGCATAACGAGCTTCCTCTCGGCATTGCTATGTCCCACAGATGTGCGTCTGTCTTCATTTGTCTCAAGATAGTTTTCAGTGCCATTTAGATTTCCTTTGGACTGTTTCATTGTTCAAGAATAGGCTATTTTCTTTCTACATATTTGTGAAACCTTCTGACTTTCCTTCTGTTGTTGATTTCTAGGTCCATAACGTTGTGGTTGGAAGAAAGACTTGATACAGTTTCAGCCTTCTTCAATTTCTTACACTTATGCTGCGGTTCGTTGTATGACCCATCCTGGAGGATATTCTGTTTGCACAAATGCGCACTGTGCTGTTGTTTGCAAGTCCTCTGCTTTGTCTTAACTTCTGTCTGGGTGATTGATGTGGTATTGAAAAGGGTAGACTGGAATTCTCTGCTATTTTGTATTACAGTCTATCTTTTCTTTTAAATCTGTTGATGTTTGCTTCGTGTACTTAGATGCAGGGGTGTTATTTGTGTGTATATTTATTCTCTCTCTTTCCCTCTCCTCCCCTCCCTCTCGTGTGTGGTACTGTACATGGAACCTAAGACCTCGTGTGTCCTAAGCAAGGATTGTGGCCCATTCAGCCCTTCTTATATCTTCCTGATGAACCTGACCCTGTATCTTCTTGACCCCTTTATAATGACCTTGTCTAATGACAACTTTTACTTGAAGTCCATTTTGTCTGGCATAAGAACGTACTTTTATTTAAATATGGATATTTTTGTAGCTTAATTTGTATACGTTGAGGGTGGTAGAAATGTACCACAGTGAGAATCTCTTCTGAAATCCCAGCAAGTAATAAAAAGCATATGCAGGATGAAGGTGACGGGCGAGGAAGAGCCTTGTATTTTCACCATGTAAGGCAGGCGTGGTTGCTCAGTGACTAGGAGAGCTGGCTGCTCTTCCAGAGGACCAGGGTTCAACCCCCAGAGCATGCTAACTTACTTTCCTTGGTTCTTATTGGTCTTCCTCCCCTCTCTCTGCCTCATTCCGTTAACTTTTTTTTTTTTTTTTGAGTGGATGACATTTTAATGATTAAAAAAAAAATACTGTGGAAATCTTGGGAGACCACTGAAATGTAAAAACCTACGGAACTGGAGAGATAGCTCAGTGGCTGAGAGTGTGTTTCTTTCACAGAAGCTTGAGTTTGGTTTGCGGCACCCACGTCAAGTAGCTCACAACTGCTTGTAACTCCAGCTGCAAGGGATTCGCAGCCTCTGGCTTCCACTGGCCCTCATACATATATGGCATACACACACACACACACACACACACACACACACACACACACACACACACACACATTACATATAATAAAAAACAAAATATTTTCAAAATCTCACATAAAGAAGACTTTCTTGGGCCTAACGGTGGCTCCAAAGCCTGGGCCAGCGTATGACTCTGAAAGTCTTGCTATCTTCTCCACCTCCTGGACTTTCCCTGCGGCCTTGTCCTGGTGAAGCAGCCTGCTCCTGACCTGAGTTTTCTCCATAAGAGGGAGACGTTTCTATATGAGTTCCTGGAATCATTTCCTCCTTTTGTATCACGTACATAAAATGCCAGCCTTCTTCAGTGAGGTCATCAGCATCTCTAGAGGAATGGAAAAATCTCAAGTGTTTGTGACTGCATCAGCATTTCCTATGGTTCACTAATGCATTTTCCCTTCAGCAAGAGTTTGTTGCCCTGCCAGTTCCTATTAAATTTTTAGCATTTTAAATATTGTATTACTAAAAGCTTATTTTTATTTGCATTTATAGATCATAAGCTCACTTCTGCACTGTTTTACTGAAGAATCCATTAAAAGAGCCAGTGAGTCTTGTAGAAAATGGCGTTCAGTGATCTCACGTCGAGGACTGTGCGTTTTTATGATAATTGGATCAAAGATGCTGGTAAGTAATGAGATTTCCTAATTGAAGTTCATCTTTCCTTTTCACATCGAATTCCCACAGTAATAGGGCTTATTTTGAACAAAATAAGTGGCGTGTCACCTTCGTACTCCTTTTTTACCAGTTAACCAAGAAGCTGGGGGTTAATATATTTACCCATGATGGTGTTTATAATAGTTGAAAAGACTCTGAAGCTCCACAGGAGGGAACTGGGTCATAGGTGATGGCATATCTCAGCCCAGTAGCCCTTAAAAATGTTTTTTTTTTGGAGGGGGGAGGTTCAGTACTCTAATGATTTAGGGGAAAATCACCGTCATTGCCAACGAAGGTTCTGCCCAGGCTGATTCTAGAAGAAAGAGCTGCCCTTGCCCCTGAGAGGTGACACAGAAAGGGCGGGGAATAATAAAAATGTTTTGGAACACGCCATGTTACCGGAGTTTAGAATATGCAAACGGAAGCCATACATGAAGCACTGTGTGTGTTTCTTTTGTGGAAAGTCGGGCCGCTTGTAGGTAGTGAGTGATGTTTTGGGGGTTAGTGTGTTGCCTGCTGCTAGGGATTGAGGTCAGGGTCGTGCTTTTGTCCCTGCTAAGTGAGTGCTCTACAACAGAGCTGCTCCTGGTCTCATGAGTAGCTTTTCTTTACTTGTCTGTGTGTGAGTTTTTAAACCCCAGCCAATGTGGTAGTATTTTAGGAACTATTAAAGTTTTAAAAAAGAAAACATTGCAAGATTTTTTTTTTAAATAGAAAAGAATTCAGTGCCTTGGAACTTAGACCTGAGATACCATCCCACCCCATGCTTCATTTTAGAGCTAAAGAAATTAAAACACAGAGGTGTGACCTTTCCCGAGGTTGGTAAAGTTGAAGAAAAAGTTGATAGAGAAGAAGAAAAAAAAAAAAAAAAACAAAAAACAACCCTGTGTTTTTAGTTATGATTAGTGTTCTGGCACTTCATTGTTTTGTAGTTATTAAGATACACATATTCACCCGTAAAACCACACTGGAGTGACTCAGTCATTGACTGGAAATCACAAGTCCCTCATATCACACCTATCACGTGAGGATGTGAGGACATATCCTAGATTACAGTGATTTCAGCAAAGACACTTTCTTGAGCAGCATTTCAGCCCCAGGCTAAATGCCCATTGCTAAAGGGCAATGTTACTTCTCCAAAGGTTTTCCAATAGTTTCATCCCTCAAGAATGCCAAGGACAAATAGAGTAGCTATTTTCCTCTCTTTTCCCTGAAGGTTTCTACTTACTTGGTTCAGAAAATGTACCAGTTTCTTTACAGGTTATCTTCCTCTGATGATTTATACTGATTGCTACAATTTTAGTATTTAATGTAAATATTGTTCTTCCAGTTGAATTTCAAAAGAAAAGTGTACATTGCTTACCCAGGTCTCACTATTTAAACTTGAAACCCAAGTAGATTAAGGTATAATTAAGAAAAGTTATTATACACACACACACACACACACACACACACACTTACCACAGTGCGGTAAGTCAGATGATGTGTAACTTTAAAAGTATCTAACAATAACTTGTAGCAATTTCTTGGTCAATCTGTGTCAGGAATGTCCTCAGTAACAGCGCCTTTCACACAATGTGTGGAAGTCAGATGATAATTTTGCGTAGTTGGTTCTCCCCATACACTTTTATGTTAGTTCCAGGGATGGAACTCAGGTCATTAGGTTTGCATAGCAAGCCCCATTACCTACTGAGCCATCTCACTAGCCCTGGCGACAGTGTTTTAGAATAGAGTTATTTGAAAACACAGATCCCGTGCAGTCCAAATCTTACTATTAACCATCTTCAATGCAAGAACAGAGGAGACTCAGGTAATCCTTACCTCAAGAGCCAAGTAGACTCAAATGGCTGCAACTAGTCCTATGGCTCTAGAAGTAACAAAACATTTTAATGCAAACTATGTCAGAACGCTGCTTCCACCTTACCTGTGGATCAATTACTTTTTGTTTGAAGTACTTCCGTCAAAAAACTAAGCAATATTAGATTAGAAAAGGGGGTAGCAAAGGACCCCAGGTGATTAAAAGTAAGGACTGAGGAGAAACAAGAAACACTGTGTAAACGGAGCAGGCAAGAGGAGAGAGGCACAGAAAAGGGAAACACCTCACATTTCTGAATACAACATTCATTTGCAGTCTTAGGAGGAAGAAGGTCATGGCATGTGGAAAGAGAGGAGCCACATTCAGGTTCCTCACTACCCTAGACTAACTAGGTGACCTTAAACCAACTATGTTTCTTTGTGAGTAAAACAAAAGGGAGACTTAGCACCTCTCAGCTGAGTGAAAGGCGCTGTTACTGAGGACATTCCTGACACAGATTGACCAAGAGATTGCTACAAATTATTGTTAGATACTTTTAAAGTTACACATCAATGAGGTGTTGTTGTTTTTTTCCTTCACTTTTTTTTTTTTTTTAATTGTCAAGGTCTAACAGAGTTAAAAGGATTTGTAGTAATAGTTACAGCTTTGGAAAATCCCTGTCAAGCACATCAGGGGAGTCTCTTCTTGTATTTAGTGTGGTATTGATCTCGGAGAGGCCTTAGTTTTGCTTTGAGTACTCTGGAAAGGGCTGAATGCATGATCAAGAGCCAAGAATTTTCAAGTGTATTCTTGGCTTTGGCCCTAATCCTGCGTGGCCAAACTTGGGAAAACTTACTGTTACTAGTTTTCTGATCGCTGGAGTGGTGGTGGTCATGCTTACTTATGTCATGTGGAAATCCCGTGGCTTAGTATGGAAGGTAGAGGACTGTTTATAAGGATCCTTTGATTATGGAATGTTAGACTTAAAAACCCTGCTAGAGCAGCATGTGGAGAAATGCTAAAGTGCTTAATCATTCAAAAGCAGCCCTTTGCGTGTTTGCATCATAAGAAGACAGAGGATGAGTAGATCTGCTACCTCTATGAACTCTCAGAAAGTACACTGGGAACCAGTATCCCTTCCCTTCCAGCTTCTTCATTCTAAAAAAGTGTAAAGTGTGTGCTCTTTCATTTATCACATGGTGCCTAAGGACACTGTTCTGTACATAGTTGATGGCTCCTTGGTAATCTATATGTCCAGCATTGTGCTTTCCCTGCACCCTGTTTCTTTCTGGGGAACTCTTAGAAAAGAACTATTAGGCTAATGATAAATCAGCACTGTGGTGGGCGTAACCAAGAGCCCAGCCTGCTTACCTACCCTCTGCTTTCACCTCAGCTCTTCTCGGCCAGCTCTGTCAACGTTGAGGGCAAGTACATGATTCACAAGACTGTCACTCCCTCCTCAGCCTTTGTCCCTGGGGAAAACAGGGACCACTTACCCCTGACTGAATTCCTAGGCTGAGTCTGAATTAACCTGATATGGAATTGTGCCCTTTCCACAGTCTTCATGTCAAGTCATCCCCAACTGACCCACAGGCATGTTAAAGGAAACCCCACTCTTCACAAGGAAGTGGACTGACGCCCTTTTCAGGAAGGTAGAGTGCTGCTGCCAGAAGCAGGAGACAGGGACACTAGCCTGAACATCAGGCTAGGGCTTTGAATTTTCTTTGATCAGTGAGGGAGAGCTCATTTAAGCAAGAGAATCATCTAAGCGGATCTGTACTTTCAGAAAGTGAGTTTGGCAGTTGTACAGAAGGCAAAGAGTGGTTTGGATTGAGAGGTCAGGATAGATTGTCACAGAGCCTACCGAGGGACATTGCCGCCTTGCGTATGGCTCAGGGAGATATTGATCACACACCAGAATCCTGATTTCTCAGTTTGGACAGCTCATCATGGTCGCCTCAGTAGCTTTAAAAAAAAGACTGCCTGTTTACAAATTATGGTTGTATCTGTTTATGTGGTACAAAGTGATATGGTAACACATGTAAGCCTTGTGGGATAATTTAAGGGAGCTAGTTAACATACCCACTCTTTAAGAACATTGGAGACTTACTGTTAGGAATCTCAACTACACAGTGTACTAATATTATTGTTTATATAATAGCTATTATATTACTACGTATAATACTATGATTATGTCATGCCCCTGTAATAGATCTCAAAAAAATTATTCTGCCTATCTAAGTTAAATTTTGTACCCCTTGACCAACATTTTTCTCTCCCTGTTGTCTAGCCAGGCTCTTAACCCCTATTATTTCATGCGTGAGACTACGTGTTGCTTTCTGAGGCTGTCTTATTTCAATCAGCATAACAATGTTTCATCCTGCTTATCAAGATACGATTTTCTTCTTTTGAGAGACCAAATGATATTCTGCCTACTTTGCTGTTTCTGTTCGTCTGATGATGAACCACTGAATAGATTCCACACCTCGGCTACTGTGGATAATACTCCAGTTGAGTCCTCACAGTTTCCAGAAATGAAATGCGTGAACTTAGAATAATTCTACTTTTAGGCTTTATTGGGCTTTCCATGTGGTTTTCCTTAATGTCCGTACTAATTTATAGTCTCAATGTGAATGCCCAAGGATCTCATTCCTCCACGTTTTCAGCAACACTCATTATCTTTTGTTTGATGATACAGCCCTACAAGCAGAAGGTGATTGGTTGAAAAATTCAATTCTACTATTTGTATTTAGTGATAGTGAGCATATACTCTTCTTTCTGTTGATCCCTTGTGTCTCTTCTTTTGAGAAATTAAGTCCTTTGCCATTATTTATGGCTGATTTTTAAAAACTTATACCCCTGGTGCCCTTAAGATTCTGATTCTGGATCCAGGTTGTTTCTGTTGTTGTTATTGGACTTTTAAATGCTACGGAGATGAGTCTGCTATGATCACAGATTTGAGATCTACCTTAGTGACAATAGCAAGCTTATTCAGTGCTTAAGTTCTTTGCAAACTCCTCCTCCAGTCCTCTAGGCAATATCCATCTTGTGCCCAATTCATAGAGAAGAAAACCAAGCCCAGTGAGGTTAAGTCAGTTGCACAAGGCCGCATAAAAGGCCAGAGGAGAGACAGGGTCACAGCACTGACTGTCTGGCTCTAGAATTTTGCTGTAATAGAATTTTTAGACCCTGAAGGGAGGTGAGGAGATGGCTCAGTGAGAAGAATGTGTACTCTGTAACAACCATGAAGACCTGAGCGCAGTCTCCAGTACCCATGTGAAAAGCCTGGAATAGTGGCCTCTGCCCAGAGTTCCAGCTGTGGGAAGCAGGGACGGGGGATGCTCCCTGGCACTTACTGACCAGCCTGCCTAGCCAAGTCACAGAAAAAAACAAATGACCACTCCTGGTGAATGATGCCAAAGCTGACCTCTGGCCTCCTCACATGAATACGCAAATGTATGTTTCTTTCTTTGTACACACAAACATACTTTAATTTTTTTTTGGTTATTTTATCTTTTTTTGAAAATAACATAGAATGAAAAAAAAAAACCCAAGCTTTTTTCATAGTAACTTTTTATTTGTAGAACTTGAAACTCATATGCACAGGATTTTAAGAAGAGGCGTGTACTGAAAAAGTTAAATCACAGGAAGAAATGGTTTATTTGGAAATGAGTTTCTTTGTCTTCCTGAGCTAGCCTTGCATGCTTTTCTTGGCTTCTGTTGCTAATGGAGTAGGAACAGAAGGGTTATGTCATTTGATTTTTCTTTCCCCTGCCAAGTCAGTGAAAGAATAAAACAAAAGGTATCTCTGATTGAGAAGTGCCTGTACTGACATTTAAGACACTGTAGTTTTAAAACTATAGTTGCTGACTAACAACAGAGTCATTTGCAATTTCCTATGAAGAAGAAACGAGAAGTCTCCCATGTTGTAGCCATGCTCAGTTAGAGATGACTGCAGTCCTTAGGGCTCTTCCCTTGCTTCTGATTTCATTAGTCTTTATTTTATTAGGGATAAAATCTAGACATACTAATAAAACAATGAAAAGCTACACATTGGCTTTATGACATTTTGTGTTAAGGTTTATATTGACCAGCAGGGGAAGGAATTTATTTAAGGCTGATCAGTTCTAAGTCTGTGCCTTGATTCCCAATCCTGTGGCAAGCTTTTATTCACTGGAGCTCTCCTTGTGTCAGGTTTAGCCGGTGATTGCCAGTGATGACCAGAAATCCTGTCCTAGGCAACTCGCCATCGTTACAAGGCTAGAGAACTAATTGAAACCCGGAAGTCTGTAGTTACCATACACTCGGATAGCTGATTTCAGGACCTTTCTAGGTTTAAAAATGACAAGTCTTGAGAATAGAGTAAGAGAGAGAAGAAAATATTTTTAAATTTTGGAACTTTGTATTTAAAAAAACTCAGATTTACTTATGGTACTTTTGTGTGTATGGGAACTGGAATTATAGATGGTTTGTGAGCTGCTTCATGGGAGCTGGGAATTGAACACAGGTCCTCTGGAAGACCTGTCAGTGCTCTTTATCACTGAGACATCTCTCCAGCCCTAGAACTTTGTGTTTTTAAGTGTTGGCCAGCAAACTTCTGCTGGTGTTCTTTTGCGTGTGACACTTCACTGAAGCTGTTCTTGCTGAAAGTGTTGTCTTCTCCGTTCCAGGTAGTGGGACTTTGCTGGCTGCCTGTCTTTCTCTCTCTGCCGCATTTCATGCTGATTCCCTTCCTGAGTGCCTCTTCCTTGGTTTCAGGACATCTTACTTTTGTGATTTTCTTCCTGCTTCACCATGCGTTCCTCCTTCCCCACAGTTTTCTCTTCTACCTCTCCTAAGTCCTTGGCACTCCCACCTTATTGCTTAACCCCCTCGCTCGACATGCTTCTCTTAACTCTACTCCACGGCTCTTATAATCACCATTTATGTAGCAGCAACCCCCAAACCTCCCTTCTCTGGCTTGGATCTCACTCCTACTCCCAGATCCATACATCCAGCTCCCTGTGAAGGTGTCTGTATGGATATTCTCAGGCACTGAAGTGTAAGACGTCTGAAGCCTAAGCTGTCCATGTCACCTTGGTGGGCTTGGTCCTCATTTGTCCCCAGTCTAAAGGATGTCACAGTCATATTAACTTCTTCTTGTATGACTAAAACAACTTCTGAATGATTTTTTTAAGAACTTCTGCCTGTGTTTTATCCTCCATGTTTGACCAGCTAGTTTATGTTTTCTTTCTTACTACATCTCAGAACAGTGTGCCTCCTGTCAAATTACTAACGGTTTAATTTATAAATGTACTTTAGAAAACAGCAGTATTTTAAACCGCTACGTAGAAAATCACTTCTAAAAGTTGTTTAATAGTATTATATAGAGAGTATTATACATACACATATACATACATACACACATACGTACGTACATACATACATAAAAACCCAGGGATCCATGGGCAAATAAGCTTGGAGAACGCTGCACACCACCACTTTCATCTCATCAATTCAAGCTGCTAACACAGAGCACTAAAAGCCTGCTGCAATCCTGTTAGACTCCGCACTCCGGTATCCTCTTGTCACTTTGGGGAAGTCTTTGTACCCACTGACTAGTTGTGTAGTTAGGTGTCCTTATATAGACATAAGAACAAACTCAGATCCTAAGCGTCTGGCATCAATTTTTTAGTTGGCTGTTTACGCCTTAGCTGGCTTTGCTTGTTTGAGACAATGGCATCCGTTGGCATTTTTGAATGAGATCCACTTGAAGACAGAGTAAGTTACCTTTGCTAACTAAATCCCTGGGCATTCAACTGTTGCATGTAACATGTCTGGCACTAAAAGTGAGTTATGAAGACAGTCATGAAGAAGTTTGGGGTGAGGAGGTTTGCTGGCAACTGGCTGTCTCATTAGTGGTTTAGATGAACAGGAATGCATGCTACAAGTCTTCTCTCACTTGTGAGGAAGGTGATGCTCTTTGATGAGCTGAGTCAGATGCTCCTGGAAGCTGCCCACAGTTATTTTCTTCCATACCACTCTGGGTTCATGAGGTCACTTGGCCAAATTATACCCCAAGTGTTTGAAATTATAGAATGAATCACAGTTCATTTTTAATTGCAATTTTTTAAATGCTAGCCTGGAGCTATAAAGAATGGGATGAACTTATGTGTAAGTGGTTGTAAGGTCATTACATGTTTTAGTTGGCTTTACATGTTTAGGGTGGCTTGCTGGCTCATACTTTGGACACCTAAGACACACACTTTTGATGGTTATATATTGATATGGTCCCTTTCAGTTTTATATGTAATATTGTATCTGAGAAAGTTCACCTATTTTCTTAAGAAAAGAGGAAAATAAATAAGCAGCAAATACAAATACAGTTTTTATGTATAAATAATGTCTGGATGGAAATATTTTTGAGAGGGTGTCTCATTTATCCCAGGTTGGCCTCGAACTCCTGATCAATTGCCTCCCCTTCACAAGTGCTGTCATTACAGCAGGGCACCACCATGCCCATGTAGGATGGAAATTTTCTGAACGTTGATAGTGGTCATGGACGGGGAAGCATCACCAGCTGCCCTTTCCTCCAGATCTACTTGTACACCCTGCTTAGATCCTGGAGAAATTATGTATCTGAGGCCAGGGTGCCAGTACTCTGGTGAGGGGTCTCCTGGGATGCTATTGTCTTACTTTGTGTCGTTATGTGGTGGAAAGACAACAGAAGAGCTTCCTGGGGTCCTTTTTATGACAGTAACCCTATTCTTGAAAAGCTCTTGCTTCTATTACATTAGGTGCTGGGATTTCATTAATTTCATTTCAGTATTTTTAAAGACTGGCCTCAAACTCGATGTATGGATGTAGATGACTTTGAACTTCTGATTCCCCGTCTCCATTGCCCAAGTGCTAAGACTCTGTGTGTGTAGAACCACACCAGGCTTACACACATGTAATTGGAGAGCGTGCAGCGTCCAGTCCATAACCCAGTTCCTCCAGAATGGCTTCTCCAGATACTCCCCTTCATGTTCTGAATACCTCCTGCCCTTTGAAACTTAAAAGGCGATGACAGCTCCACTGTTTGTAGCTCAGAAGAGCCCTACTGCTCTTAGGGGGTTTTCTGTCACTATTTCTAAAGATGCTTGTGATCTTTGCAGCGGTGTGCTGTCAGCAATGGGGTGAAGGCAGCTTCCTGTTATTGCAGGGCTAAGTGGCCGTGCGCTTACCTGTTGTCTTTCTCTTAGATCCGAGAGTTGAAGACTGGTTCCTCATGTCCTCGCCTCTGCCACAAACCATCATCCTGGGGATCTATGTCTACTTTGTCACATCTCTGGGACCAAAGCTCATGGAAAATCGGAAGCCCTTTGAACTCAAGAAAGTGATGATAACGTACAATTTTTTCATAGTACTGTTTTCTGTGTATATGTGTTATGAGGCAAGTGTCTTCAGTATTCCTAATGGAAAAAGTTCACCTGCGCCTTTTTGATATGTATGTTTTTGTTATGATGATAGAGTTCCCTTTTTCTGAGAATAGAGGAATTTAGAAACTAAGCAGGCGTTTATAACAATAAGAACACCAAAACTGTTATGCCTAGATGAAATAAACCCAAGGGTCTCAGGACGGTTGCTATCTTGGATAGTGAGAAAAAAAATAACATTTAGCTCAGAGATTTGCACTTGATAAATGTTAGTTGTGAGGAAACTCATGTCCAGAGAAAAAGAATGAATGGGCTCAGAGTGGCGGCTGGGAAGTGGAGGGCTGGTCTTAGAATGCAGGTGCCTCCAGAGCTGGGTATTGACTTGCACACTGTTTAGGCTTCACAGGCTTTGAGGCCAAAGAGAACATAGATTCACATAGAGTCAGAGGTGATAAAGCCCTGTGCCTTATTATAAAAGAAAAATCTTCCAGAATGTAGACGATATTGTGGATTTATTCTCTGCCTTGCTGCTGTTCTCAGCTGCCTTTGCATCCTTGTTTCTCTAGGGTTCTTTGCTGTGTTTCCAACCCTGGCTGGCTCCCTCCTTATGCTTCTTTTCTTTCTAGCATACCTGTTCTTGCTCATACTTGAGGTCTGTGAGGAGCCATGGTGGCCTTGCTGGCCGCTGTGACACTAACCTCTTTCCTGCTACAAATGACCTAATTCTAGCTTCACTGTGCAGCTTGTCACCTATTTGTTTCTTCTACTAGCCCACAGGCCACTGCTCTTCTGTCATTTCTACACTATGAACAGGCTCCTCGTATGTTCTCAGAGGGAGAATATACCTGGGAGAGAAATTAAGAACATGCCTGAAAGCTAGGAGCCCAGACTGCCTCCTTTTGACCGTGTTACTTTTTATCTCTAAGCCTCAGTTCTCTTATGCTGCAGTGACAGGAATGAACCAGTTTTTCTCTTGGGTCCCAGAATGTTCTAGTATTCTCAGGTTCTGTCTCTGACAGTGCCATTGTTTGTGATGATCACAAATTATATTTCTCAGGTTTAAAAAGAATCCAGTAGTAACCAGTTAGTTTTGGCTTCTGCTTTGTCAATTATAACATAGAAGAAGGTTTTAAAAATACCCGAATCAAAGAGTTTCTGTCTTCATTAATACTTGAGTTATAGTTTCAGGACTTTCTGCCTGCTGAACATAAACCATTAACTTTTTGTTACTAGCCTAAAGATATAACTGTCAAGACCTTCGCAGGCTATTGGTATGTTCTCAAAACTCAACATCAGCACAAAGGTAGATCCACTCTGTTTGAACACAGACTTAATAACTAGGACATGTCCTGTCTGCCAACAACATAGGCACAGTTTATGGTGTGGAGGAGCAAGATTCTGTGAGGTTTTCAGAGTAAATGCCTCTGCCAGGCATGCTTGACCAAAAAGGAGCAAAGATTGAGAGAGAACCATGCCATACTGAAGAGACGCGTCTGTCTTCTTGTGAACGAGTGGGCTAGATACCTGGCACAAATCAGACACTGATAAAGAGGGAGCAGGTGCAGCCTACAGAGACCCAAGTCACACAGTCTCTCTCATTTAGTCAGCTCTTATTTGTGTCAGGGTAAGGTGGACAGTTAGTGATCTAGCTTAAAGGAAAGTTCCTGGGGTTAGAGTAGCAAGCTGTGACTCTTTAATACAGTTTCTCATGTTGCAGTGACCTCCCCCAACCATAAACTTACTCCGTTGCTACTTCATAACTGTAATTCTGCTACTGTTGTCAGTCGTAATGTAAATATCTGATACTCAACCACTAGGAAAGGGTCATTCAACCCCCAAAGGGGGTTGAGAACCGCTTGGTTAGAGCATTACTTCTATCAGTTGAAATGAGTCTGAGCATAACAGAAAATGGCATTGTTCATTGACTTGAGGATTTTGAGAAACAGAATTCACTGTTGCTATCACACTCCTTGTTACTTTGGTAAGATCTGTTGACTTGCTTTTTAAGATATTTGTTAAACTAGGAAATGCATGTCCTAATCTTTTCTGAGTCTTAATGTTCAAGATCTCATAGCATTTCCAGAGCTTATATTACCCTATACTGCAGACTAGGAGTGAGTATGAGAAGAGGGTGCATTTTAAATACCATAATTAAATTCGTTTTTTCCACTACTTTTCGCATTATCAAGTATTATCTTGGCTGATCTCTGTTGGTAGATACCTGTTATCACAGCCCTTAGGAGGCTGAGATAAAGAGAGTCATAAATTTGAGGCCAGCCTGGGTTACAGAGCAAAGCCCAGTCTCAAAAATATAAACGGACACAAGCCTCTGCAAAAACTTTAAGTGTATTTTTATATTGGAAAGTTATCATCATTTTAGCTAAAATAGTGATGAAACTATGAAATAACATATGCTTCAGAAGCCAAAAGTGGTATAAACCTTACAGGGAGAGAGAAGATATTCCAAGCCAGATGTTTGCGCTTGCAGAGGAAGAATAGAGAATATAGTTGACAAAAAGAGAATATGATTGTCCCTACTCCAGATCAACCCAACCACTAAAGATATGTATTAATTAAAATCAAGTACTTGGCTTTCATTTGTAGCTACTGTTTTAAAGGCCCCTCCCGCCATCAGACTAAAAGAATGTCAATGTGATCCCTGAATTACAATTCAGACTTACCAACAATAGGCTTTTCTTTTTAACACCAGTAGAAGGTCACTTTGTGGGTGTGTTGGAATGGCCGTCTGCCAGATTATACCCCAGTTAGTAACAAGAGCTTTGTCTTCCCTTATTTGTCTCGTGAATTTAAAGCACAGCTGGAAGCAGACCTGTGCATGGTGTGTCTCAACGTTGAAGCAGGAGAGAGTATCAGAGACAAGCACGGCCGCTTCATGGGTACTTGCCAGCCATGGGTAGGGAAACACAGTGGCCACAGCCACCCTGTTGGCATGTGGACAGGTTTTTGTTTGTGTAACCCTTATTGACTAATCGGAAAGATTTGAAACATTCAGGGAAAAAAAAAAAAAAAAACAGGTTCAGAGCCATGCACACCCCCCCCCCCTTAAAAGTAGATGAACACACGTGTGTAGTCGACACAGGTAATATTTGGTAACTAGGCAGAACACTCCCCGAGTTTTGTCCTGCGCTATTTTAAAGGAATCCTGAGAAGTGGACAAGTAAGTTAGCATACAGTTCATGTATATGGTCTGTGCGCTTGTGGCTTTGAGAAAGGCTGGTGCCAAACTTCTCCCCACGGCGGGTTTGGTTTGTCCTGGTTCTCACTGCCTCTTCCCCAGCTTTGCCTGCTTACTTAGCCGGTCGCGAGACAAGGTGCAGTCAAAACAACCTTTGTTGTATCTGTTAGCAAGTTCTTCCTCTTGAATATGCATGTTTCTCTTCCAGTTTGTGATGTCCGGCTGGGGGACAGGTTACTCCTTTCGATGTGACATTGTTGACTATTCTCAGTCACCCAGAGCCATGAGGGTAAGTTTCTCTTTGGGAAAGTCTGTGTAGTTCAAAATCATTGTGAAAATCCTTTGGGTTCTGCAACATTGGATATGAATTCACAGTGAGTGAATGACTCAATAATAATAAGCTTAATTAAGTTGGGAGGAAAAGCTAAAATTATAAGGAATTTAAAAAATCCAGGTGTATAGTGTTCTATAAAATGACAGTTAGTGCTGTTTAAATTTCTTGGGTTTTAAATCTTCCCTGATTTCTGAAAGATGAGAAATAGAATTTTCTTAAGATTTAGCAATTCCACTTCTGGCTATATTTCTAATAGGGTTGAACTCAGGGACTCAAAGAGGTGTCTATATACTCAAGAACACAACACCATTTGTTGTGATGGCCAAATGTAGAAATAACCGAAAATGTCCACAAATAGTACATGGCTAAACAAAATGTGACACACACACACACACACACACATACACGCACACACGCACACAAACACAGGAACGCACATGCACACATGTGAAGAGAATAGAACTATTATTCAGCCTCTAAGAGCTACAACTTGTGTGACTCTTGAGGACATTGTGCTAACTAGTATATTCCAGTCACAAAGGACAAACACGGCATGATTCAGCTTATATGCGTAGGACAGAGGGTGGATGGCTGGGCTGGAAGTAAGAGAGAAATGGGAAATCATTTTTGAATGAGTTTAGAGTGTCACTCTTTCAAGATAAGGGAGTTCTGTGGGTGGATCTGTCACGGTGTGGAGGGATATGAATGCAATCGAAGCCACCAATCTATACCTTTAAAAGCTGGGTAAAATTTGTTACGTGTTTTTTAAACCAGCTTTTTTTCTAAAGTAGACGTTTCCTCCATATAAAATATTAGGTAAATAAATTCTTATCTGTGTATTTCCACAGATGGTGCACACCTGCTGGCTTTATTACTTCTCCAAGTTTATCGAGCTGTTAGACACTGTGAGTACATGACGCACACATTTCAGAGCTGTTTGATGTCTCACTGAAGCAATAAACTGCGAGTGTATAGTTATCGCATAATCTTGCTTATCTGCCCTTCTCTGACCGGCCTACTGTTCCCCATTGTTCCTTCAATTATCTTTGCTTTTAGAAAATGAACTTTCCAGCATTTCACAACCTTTGACTGCATTTTGAAAGTGTAGGCATCACCTGGTTAAGATAAACAGGTACCTGTCACCTACCCCACAGAACTGTGCCCTTACGTGACAGCACTTCCCTGTGGAGCAGTTCGCAAAGCCACGAACGGAGACCACGTTACGGTGGTTCCTCACGGTGTCAACCGTACTCTGAGATACATTAGTGCATCACAATCCATAAACCCGGAGCCAAGCGTGATGCTATCCAAGGATTGTCGGTCGTCGTCGGAGGAACACAAACATCATCTCAGCTGCTGTTCTGAAGCCTGAGCTTGCTGGGCCCTAGTTCTCCTGGCTTTGCATCCTGGTGAGGGTCAGCTGAGCCCAGTGGCTAGTCAGTGTGCTCTCAAAGTCTTAGCTTCCTGCTGCCACAGGGAGGCTGTGTTGGTATTTCTGACAAGTGTGTCTGGAACACACCCCACCAGACCTTGTCGGAGATATCAAACATGCTTCACTCTTAGTTGACGAATCACATAATGTTAGGTTGAGAAGGGACCGTGGAAGATTTAGAATCCAGGGTCTCTCACATTTTAGCTCGCATTAAAATCACCTACAGGAATCCCTACTCAGGAACCTGAGGTGGGATCACAAGTTTGAGCCCAGCCTGGGCTACATAGTAATATTCTGTCTTTAAAAAGAAAAGACAATGGAAACAAGCAAGCAACAAAACAAAATATGAATGGCTCTTTAAAGCACAAATAATTCTTACCCTTCCTAACAACGTGACCCTTTAATACAGTTCCTCATGACGTGGTGACTCCCAACCACGAAACTGTTTTCCTTGCGACTTCATAACTGTACTTTTTCTACTGTTATGAATCGTAACGTAAATAAAGATCCGTGTTTTCTGATGGTCTCAGGCGAGCCCAGAGCGGTCACGACCCAGAGGTTGAGAACCGCTTCCCAAGTGCTTACCCAGCCGGTTGGGAGGTGGAGTGCGCGAATTCTTCTTCTGGCAGTTTCTCACGTGATTCATCATTCTTACTCGGGAACCACACTCTGAGAAGCTGCTTGCCCATAGACTCAGGGTGCCCAGCATTCACAGTTACGTGCATTAGGAACAAAACCTTAGGAACAAGAGGACCCACCTCTTGAGATCTGATGCCTGATGGTCTGGAGCAGAGCGCACACATGGGTATTTTGGGGCAGGGAGGGGACCTGAGAAGTTGGGTGGCCTACCCAGAGACACGCTGCTGTGAGAGCAGGACACCCTGCTCTCAGCCCTTCTGTTTACAGCCCTTCTGTTGCACCAGGCCGCCTTCTTCCACGAGCATAAACAAAAGCATATGGCATCACTGATTCTGCTTTGCATAGTCTCAGCAGCAACTCCCATAAGGAAATTGTTTCTGTCTTGTGTCCTTTCCAAGTTTTCCAGACACAGGAATGCCTTGTGTTGTGGCCTGAATTTGAAAGCCTGACTTTACTCTGGCGCTGTGAACTTTTCTGTTAGCACATTCTTTGAACACCTCCCCAGCCCCCAACCTCTGCTCTTTTCTCTTGTGTAGCAGCAAGCCATCACTGGGCATGCGCAATCGCAATGGTACCTTTGTTGCCGTTCTTATTTTTCTTATGCAGCTTTGTCCACATTTTTTTTTTTTTTAACTCTTCGGGATTTTCATTATTTGTTTTTCTTTGGTCATACATTCTTTTTTCCAAGTCTGCTTTCAGTTTGCCTAATCCGTTATCCAAAATTGGGAAGGTGTGTTAGAGAGCAATGTAGAATGAAATAATTTTAGTCCTAAGAATTGTGAACTTCTGGCTGCCGCATTGCTCAGAATTTGTTTTTGTTTTTTGTTTTTTCGAGACAGGGTTTCTCTGTGTTGCTTCGGCTGTTCTGGGCGCACTTTGTAGACCAGGCTGGCCTCGAACTCACAGAGATCAGCCTGCTTCTGCCTCCCTAAGTGCTGGGATTACAGGTGTGTACCCACCATGCCCAGAAGCATTGTTCAAAATCTATTGAAAAATTTTTTTAAATTTATTTTTTGTAAATAGCACTTCTTTCAAGAAATTCGGGCCAAAGTCTTCATTTTATATGTTTGATTTTTTTTTTTTTAAGTCTGCATAAAACTTCTCCCCTTCTGATTGGTTCTCTCATGATTATGAGTCATACCACATTCATGCATGCTGGTCAGCCTTTGAGCAATGTCCTAGAGTACCAGCTGCCCCTGTCAGCACCCCCCAAAACAGCTCGGTGGAAACAACTTGTGAAATTGTTTGCTTTTGCTGATTCCTTTGTAACACTCGATAAATTATGGCATGGTTTTTATGAACTTGATTTTCTTTAAACTATTTCAGGTCTTTTTTGTTCTGCGTAAGAAAAATAGCCAAGTGACTTTTCTTCATGTCTTCCATCATACAATCATGCCATGGACCTGGTGGTTTGGAGTCAAATTTGCTGCAGGTAAAAAAGGGAGAGTTGGGGTCGTGTGATATATAAATGATGACATTTCTGTGTACTACAAATACAAATTCTGTACCTAGATTTAATTTATAAGATTATTTTTAAATCAAAAAGCCACTTTGATTAAAGTTCTGATTTGAAATTATCACCTGAAACACAAGCATTGGACTCTTAATTAGATTCCCCACTTTCACTCTTCAGACATGAAGACTTTTGAGCAAGACTTTGATACAGACTCTTTAGTTTTGTTCAGTCTTTATTGTTTCTCTTTAGGGTTCTGTTGCATGTTTTCAGTTGCATAGGTGATAAACAAATAGGTAAAATATCAAAAGCCTTGGATTCATAGATAGACACCTACTTAAATGACATTCCTAGCTTGTTCACAGAAAGTCAGAATTTTGATCTCCAGGTTGTTTGCCTTCAACTTCCTAATACTGGAATGCCCTGCCTTAGTCCATTCTGTGTTGCCTACGGACTTCTTGTTGCTTTATGAAGAGGCTGGTTGCTTTATGAAGCAAAGAGTTCTGCTTAACTTATGTTTTTGGAGGCTGAAAGTCCACGACCAAGCAGGGCCATCTGTCTAGCCTCTGGACAGGTCTAGCAGTGGAATGTGGCAGATGGCACCATACCAAGAACAGGGAGGGGAAGGGGAGAAAAGGAGGGGAGAGAACAAAATGGGAGAGAAAGAGAACCGGGAGGCAGAGCAAGACACAAAACAGATACATGGCCAAATCCTGACTTAATCGCCTCTCACTAAGCAACTTCTCTTAAGATGTCCATTGCCTATCAGTCCAGTCGTATCAGAGACAAACAACACCACGACGATGATAGCTTTAAAGATTAATCAGATCACAATTCCTCGACTTCCCAAAGGGGTCTACCAAAGGAAACAACATTTTTTTTTTTTTTAAGATCAGAGATAGTTTTAATCAAAAGCTTGATCATGAGCATTTGTTTCATTTTGGTTTTCTGTTTCCGAACACCTGGAATTAGAAAAAGTGATTTTTTTCTAATTCATAAAATTTGAAATAAACAAAGTCTTCAAGCATGTATTTCTCGGTTAGCAAACTTTGCTGCAGGAATTATTTAGTCTACTTTCCTAACATCAAGAAGTCACAGATAGCCACGCTGTTTAACCTTTATTATTTTAACTGAAGTTTCTTTTTAAAATTTTTCATTATTATATTATATTATAATACATATACATTATATAATAATGTATATATTATTATATATATTATTATTATATTATATTATTATATTAAAATCATTTATTATAATTTATTCACTTTGTGTCCTGGCTGTAGCACCCTCCCTCTTCTCCTCCCAGTCCCACCCTCCCTCCCTCTTCTCCTCCTATGCCCCTCCCCTAGTCACTGGTAGGGGAGGTCCTCCTCCCCTTCTATTTAACCCTAGCCTATCATGTCTCATCAGGACTGGTTGCATTATCTTCCTCTGTGGCCTGGAAAGGCTATACCTCCCTCTCCCACCCTCAGGGGGAAGTGATCAGAGAGCCTGCTACTGAGTTAATGCCAGAGACAGCTCCTGCTCCCCTTACTAGGAAACCCACTTGAACACTGAGTCTAAAGGCTACATCTGAGCAGGGGTTTTAGGTCCTCTCCATGCAGTTTCTTACATTTTTTTTTTTCTGTCAAATCCACACCAGGCCCCTCAGGTCTCCTAAGTGAAATGCACTAATGTCTTACTTATATTGATGAAGAACTGGACAATTTCAACACACACCCCTAGGGAGGTTATGATGATTTCTGTGTGTGTAGAGGCATGGAAAGAAAATGATGCCGAGAAGCATCTGGACAGGCCTCCCCATTAGGCACCATGATGACTAATTATCAGACAAAGATGATTATTTTACTTCTTAAGATGCTAGAAAAGATGTTCTCAAACCTGTCAGCTATTTTATGTTTCTTCCATAACACGAGAATATAGCTGGGCAAATCTGTGGGCTCTGCATCCATGGATTCAGCCAGCCATAGATCAAAACTAAGGAAGGAAAACTGCCCCAGTGTTTTCCTGGTCATTATTCTCTAAGCAAAATAGTACAGAACTGCTTCCATTACATGTGCATGGTTTTGTATCATAAGCTCTATGGGGGTGTGTGCACAGGTTATGAACATACAACCCCCCATTTTCTGTAAGGAGCTTCGAATAGCCACAGGCGGTAGTGGGAGTGGCTGTCACAAGGAGTTTTGAAACTTCCCTCCGATGGGTCTCAAGGATCAGCTCTACTGTATCCCAAGTCTGAAAAAGGAATAGGAGAACAGGTTGGAAGGCAATGCTCCAAAATACACGCATGCGATTAAGCTGCCGAACCCAATGTGTTTCCCTCGGCTTTTTTAATTCTTCTCTGTGGCCTCTCATCTTTCTGTATCAAATATGTGATAATTCTACTAAGGGAAACATACATTTTTCTATAAAGAATAGAACTGAGTGATTTTTCTCACCTTTGTTTGACATGCAAACAAGGTTTCAAACCTTGCATTTAAAATGCCCCATGTCTATCAAACATTTTGCCATAGTGTCTTTTACCCTTACCTTAATTCCTATTTCCTTTAAAGAATGGTCGAGGTGAAAAAAAAAAAGTGTTTTATGTTCCTGGTGTGGTTTGTGATCTGGCAGTCCTGCTCTGTCTTAGGTGTGGGGTTCTAGTCAACATGCCTACACCTGTTCTCTCTCTTTTTTTAAAAAAAAATATTATTATTTTAATGTGCATTCGTGTGAAGGTGTCAGATCCCTTGGAGTTGGCGTTACAGACAGTTGTGAGCTGCCAGGTGGGTGCTGGGAATTGAACGAAGGTCCCTTGAAAGAGCAGGCGGTGCTTTTAACCACTGAGCCATCTCTCCAGCCCCCTGTTCTCTCTTTTTTTAATTTATTTTTTATTTCCTTTACATCCCAAGGGTTCCCCCTCCCTCCTCTCCTCCCAGTCCAGCCTCCTTCCCTCCTTCTCCCTTCCCCTATCCCTCTTCCCCCAGAAAAGGGGACCCCACACCTATATCTTTTACAATGTCATTTCAGTCGCTGGCCCAGAAACAGGATTTCCAGAACTGTGGTTTGGCAAGAGCTATGTTCCTAGATCAGGCCTGTCTGTTCAAGGCAATCTTTGCAAATACTGGAACCCAGATAATCTCTATTTAGTTTCTGGTTTCCCATGGCCTCCTGGGGTAACAGCAACCCAGCTTTTCCATTTAATAAGAGGAGGATATTTTTCATGGTAGATTTTTCTATTAATTATATAAATATCCCCTTTGAGAAAATAGAGAATTATCATAATTACCCAGGTGATTCTTTTGTTTTCTCCAAACAAAAAGATACCATATCAAAAGGTAATATTAGAGGTAACTGGCTGTAACTCATTCTGAGATGCTTGCTTTTCAGGCCCATTCTTGTAAAGAAAGCAATGCTCCCTTTGAAAAGCCTTCCAAAGAGTAAAGTAGGAAGGATTACTAATTAAAATGTGATTGTTTTATGAACAAACTCACTATAGTAATATGTCAAAATGCAATCAGCAGAGAAAATAAGCAAGTTAATTTCATCTGGCAGCTTCTGTTGTTCAGCAAGTTTTCAACTTACCCCAGTTAGCAACATTTAGACCAGTCCCTGTATAAAACTCTCAGGTTAGGGCATTTAAATCAGTTGTTCTCAGCCTTCCTAATTCAACCTGATTCTTGAGCTATTATAGGAATAGGCAGCTATTCTATTTTTTAGTTACCCGAAAAAGGGTGTCCCCCATCTTATAATTTTTTGGGGGGTGAGAAGATTAATCCAAATATAAATAATAAAAGCTGAGGTGATACTCAAGTGCTTTGCTAATGGTGTTGCTTCTGAAATTTGTAATAATTAAGGAATTAACTGCAATTTGATTAAAGTCTATGAAGTACAGGATGGTGTAAGGCTTCGGATGAATATAACCTAATTATTTAAAGTGTGTTCTTTCCCGGGAATACTTTAGCAATTGTAGCATCTAGAAACATTCAGAATTACTACAATTATGAATAGATATTTTAAAACAATGGGTCAGTTGGCAAGGTCTCTTGCCTCCAAGGCCAAGCCTCATGACCCAAGTTTGATTTTCAGAAATCACGTGGTGGAAGGAGAGAACTAAGTACTGCAGCCGTCCTCTGACCCTTGTGTGCTGGGGCACGTGTGCGCATGCTCAGCTGCCCATCCCACACGTGAATTCACGGAAAGTGACTCTGCTCTGCACCCGGTCTACAATGCTTCCCCACAGACGACTTAAAGTGTTTATGTATTAAAGTGTTCTACCGTAATTAGTTATAAGTTTTGGATTATTGCTGGAATCAGAGACTTCCAGAATTAAGGAAATGGATTTTTGTTTTGTGGTTTTTTTTTTTAGAAAAACTTAAAATCCCAGGTCATCCTTACCATGCATAAGGCAGATTTCTCTAGGTTGAACATCTCAAGAAAGAAACCCTACAGAGGAATTTCCTTTCTCCACCACCAGCTGCTATCCCCTCCACCAAGCACTATTACTGCTGAAGGCAACTGAAATGATCTTTCTGTACATTCTTGTGATTTTTTTTTTTTTTGCATCTCCTCCTAATTAAGGATGGTGAAATTAAAAGAGGGAAACATAATCAAATGGAAGCAGTATGATAAAGGGATGGCTTAATAGTCAGTAACTCCTTAGTTTGAAATCACAGTAATTGTTTCTAGCAGACTTAGCGTAGCTCACTAACGACTTCCAATGCTTTCCCGACAGTGTTTGTGGCATTGAAAATATCTAACGCACGGTACTGAGAGTGTGGAAGGAAAATCTGATTCCACACGATAATTATGTCAGTAGCTTTATACATGAGAACCTAAATTGGAAGTAATCCTAATGTTGTTCAATGGTAGAATGGATAAATATTGATGCATTCATCTGGCATAGTGCTGAACAATAGGGAAAAGACAAATATTATCACCGTATACACCAACATGCAAGAAACTCAAAGCCTTTGTGTTGTATGAAAAGAGGCAGAAATAAGAGTCCACACCATGTGGCTCCATCTATGTGAAATTAATAGTTGATGACAGAAACTGGATAAAGGTCATTGCGGAGGGATGTAGTCAAGCAATAGGCCATGGAGCTTGGTGGTGTTGAGTCTTCCGTGTCTTGATCTTGGTGGTGGTTATGAAAATAGGTAGGCTTTAAGCATGTGAGACATCTTAATTTAAAGCTTTAAGATGAATGCAGCTTGTTCACCTTAGAAATGATAACTTTCACTAGAAGTACATTTTGATTCCTATTAAACAATGTAGCATATTGAAGAGAATGACCTAATTTGCTTAAACTCAGATCACAGGCACGTTTTAAGGTGAACAAATAATAACGTGCTAGTTTATTTCGTAAGATTCCTGTTGTGCGTTTTGCTGAACATTTTACGGAACTCTTAGGTGGTGGCTGTTTCACGGAATTGATTCTTCTGTATTTTTCTTCTTCCTATTAAAATTAGAGAAACGACAGTGCTGAAATCTAGGACAAATGTATCTGATTTTAAGGGACTAGGGCTGTTTTACAATGACTTCTTTTCTCTCAGGTGGCTTGGGAACATTCCATGCCTTTTTAAACACAGCTGTGCATGTGGTCATGTATTCCTACTATGGACTGTGTGCAATGGGGCCGGCCTACCAGAAGTATTTATGGTGGAAAAAACATTTGACATCTTTACAGCTTGTGAGTAACTGATTTTCTTTCAATAGGAAACAAAACTGTAATTACGTGTTTTCTCTGTGAGTTACGAGCCTAGATGAACCCAGCACAGTCTAAGGAGCAGTGAAATGCCTGTCCTCTGCAGGATATGCTTTATTAGTTGTTTGGACCTTAATCAAGACCTGGGTCAGCTAAAAATAAAATAGACTTGGTAGCTCAGATTCTCAAACGAGTAAGCCGTCTTCATAATGATCTGGGATGCATTTATTAAAAAAAAATGTTTGTAATCAAAATGGTGTCAAAGTTATATGACCATAATAAAGAATAATGCCGAAGTACAAGTGAGAAACCCCATATTGTGAACCAGCCTTTGAAGGACTGTAATGTGGGAGGAAGGGTGGGCATTTCTGTGTGCTTACCTGTTTAGTCCTAACCTTGGTCCGTTTGTCTTCCTCCTGCTAAGTAAAGAGTGCTGTGAGGATCGCAGGTCTGGTGTGAGTGTGTGGGTTATATAGATTGGAAACTGTCTCCCAAGTCAGCAGTGCTTGAGTGAGTAAGGCATCGAGTTTAGGAGAAATAATACCTCCTAAGAACCCATTCTAAAAAATATATGACACATAATTTTCTTAATAACTGAGTAAAAAGTGACCCCTTTTAGTTTTATTACCCTCTGCCATCTACCTAGTTCCTGGATTGAAGGATACTGTATATTGGGTGCTGTGGTCTGCCAGTGACACCAAGGTCAAAGCGGGACTAACGCCTGTTGGGGACTTGCTAGTGACTTTAGATACAGCCCTGGAAGGGGTTCTCCTAGGCAAAAGGCTAGTGCCCCAGCCTGTGAGGACCTCAGGGAACATCAGAGGAGCACCTTCCAGTTAGCTCTTGTGTCTGAAACTGACGAACCTCAAGGAGGCAGTGAAACGGGTACTTTAGTTTGTATGTTTGTTTTACTCTCACTTCGGAATACTGTGAAGTCGTGGCAATTTTTTTTTGTCGTTGCTGCTTTCCTTTAAAGTATCTTTTATTTCATTGTGCAGTAATATGTGCTTGTTGCAGAGAAATTAAAATGCCCTAGGAAGAAAAAGAAACCGGACTGGGGTGTAGCTTAGTGCAGGAGAGTTTTCCTAGTTCCAAGTACCATATAAATAAAAAAAATCAATAAACAGGTAAAACTCTGCCTCACCAGGGTAGTAGTTATTTTTCACTCAACTTTTCTCCTTATGGGTATGTATGCATGGATGCCTTTTTACAGGCTTCATATTTCCTGCCTACATAATCTTTTATTAGTTCTTTTTCACCTAACAAATGTTGTGACACATTTTTCATAAAATGAGCCAGATATACGTTTTCACACCTCCAGACCAGCCCTTGGGAAGTGGAGGCAGGAGGATCAGGAGTTCAAGGTCACGCTCGGCTACATAACAAGACCGAAGCCAGCCGGTACAACATAAGACTTTGTTTCAGAAAACAAATAAGACTTTCAATGAAGTAGAAAGGTGTGTACATAAAAGTGAAGGCTAGATATCTGTTCACTGCTTTTCTCAAGCACACGTGCGTGTGAGGGCTCTGCTTCACCTTTGCAAGGTTTCATTATTCTCTTGCGAAACAAAGAGAGTGAGTGCAGCTGCTGGCCAGCGAAGCCGTGGAAGCTTATTAGGATGTTGTAGTGAGGGTTGATGCTAGCAATAAAGTTATAAGAAATAATGGAAGAGATTTAATCATGGCTAGCTAGCACATGTATGCTGTTTTTTTTTTTTTTTTTCTAAAACTTCCCCAGAACATAACTGAGTTCAAATCATGTATATAAAAAAGTGCCAAGTCTGAAGGGGTGGAAAGATGGCTTGGTGGGTTAGTGTTTTCCACCAAGCCTGATGACCTGAGTCTGATCCCTGAGACCCACACAGTGGGAGGATAGAACTAACCTGGCCTGCGCAGGCATGCAGACTCTTGTACATCCCCTTTCTACCACACAAGCATCAAAGCAAGATACCCACAAGCATCTGACCATTAACACAGAAAGCCTCCTCATCATGAATATGCAGATTTTTCCAGCCCACAGAGCCCTTGAGCATCCTTGGGAAGCTAACCGATGTCTTCACTCTCCTCCCTCCTTCTTGGCAGCTGGGACTTCTTCCTCTTCCTTTTTCTTTTCTTGGAGGTGAACTCTCACCATGATGCCCAGCTGATCTCAGATTTGTGAGCCTAAGTGATTCTCCTGACTCAACCTTTCAGGTAGCTGAGATAGCAGGCGTGTCTCATCATGCCCAACTCCTTTCTAGGACGGTTTGGATCTATGGAGATGAAGGACACGTGGCAGCTCTAAGGACATGCTTTGGCTCCATCAAAACTAGAAAGGCTTTACTTTGGATGTTAGTATCTTCTAAAACTTAAAATACTTAGTCTCTGAGAACAGAATGTTGGAAATCAAAATTGCCCTGGAAAATTAGGTCACGGTGTAGTAGTGATCCTCAGAGCCAAGGACCAGGGTCCTTGAAACACCCTCCCCCCGAAACACAGGCAAGCAAGCAGGCAAGCAAACCACTGCTTTGTCGGGTGCCTGAGAAGGATGCATCTTGTCACCCAGCACGTCCCAGGGAACATTAAGTGGGATCTGCAGGAGTTGTGCAGTCTCGGAACCATATATTGCTCTCTAAACCTCCACCGAACCTACTCTTCCTCTCAGAGAGGCCATATTTAAAGACTCGCTGCCCTGTCCAGTAATAACTTCGGTATGGCTGCGGAAGAACTCATAAACCAAACTTGGCCTTATCATAACTATTTTTTTTTTCATTCTTTCATCTCTCAGGTGCAGTTTGTTCTTGTCACTGTCCATATAGGCCAGATCTTCTTCATGGAGGACTGCAATTACCAGTACCCAGTTTTCCTATACATCATTATGAGTTATGGGTGCATCTTCCTGCTACTCTTTCTCCATTTTTGGTACCGTGCTTATACCAAAGGTCAGAGGTTGCCCAAAACTATAAAAAATGGAAATTGCAAGACCAAGCATCACTAAAATACCTGCCAGCCTTGATTTACAATTGAGACTGATATGTTGCCTTCCTCGACAATCAAGAGATACTTGCCTATGCAGTTCATTCTGTATATTTTTCCAAAACCAAGAGCTTGTATTTTTATGATAAGTTATTTGGGTTTCTGACCTTTGAGAGTCCAAAGCTCCCAGATAAGTCTTCTCAGTGGACGAGCCTGGAGCAGCCAGGAGGTTTCCTGTTGCCTTTCAAGCTAATCAAAGGTCTTAATACATTTTGCTACAGTGAGAGGAGGATATGAAGTAATGTAGTACTCTTCTAGGAACTCCAGAATAGATGAAAAATACTAGCTATTTTGAACATGGACAGAGATCCTGAGTATGACAGATACCTCCTGCCTGGTCCTGGAAACCTCTGATTGTGAGTTCTGGCCCTGTCACTCATTCCTTGTGTTCAGAAGACATTATCATCACTCTAGGGCTCAGTTCCCAATCTAAAGTGCTAACACAGGTGAAGCCTAAGTGAATTTTTTTTCATCAGCTCTCGTCTTAAATTGTTAATGGTGAGTTTGAATGGGTCTTCTGAGAGGTCGCCACCTGGCCTGCCAATCAGACCTCCTCCCAACATGTGTATAAGCTGTTGGAGGGAGGGAGGCAGCATCTGCACTGATGCCATTGACACTAGGGTGAAGGTAACGTTATGTTTCAGACAAGATGGTTTGCTTCAACAGGTCAATGAACACTTTGCTAACAACGATGATTCTACAATTAACTTTGTACATGTCCGAAAAGAGCGATGGGTCAATGAAAGAAAGCACTGTTAATTCCGTGGGGGAACATTGCAGTCTGTTGTTGTATAATGTCACTCTCTGATATGTCATGGTTTAAAGGATTGTCTTGCCTAAGTATGTGTTAATTAGATATTTAATTGTTCATATTTAAAGGACTAGCTTACCTCAGGTGCCTTTGAATCACAAATTAATCTTTGAAAAGCTACTATGCAAAGTAGCTTAGGAAGTAACTGGAGTTGGGTGGTGCTGAGTATTTGAGGTAAGATTTGGTTACATAAACAAGGGCTGTTAGATTTTAAGAGACAAAGACACTACATTGTGATTGTGGTTTCTATATATTTTGTGTTGTGGGTACAGTGCATGAAGAAATATTTCCAGAATCATGAATTAGACAGGATTTCCTTTTTTTTTTTTTTTTTTTGACCTTTAAGCCATGTTGTGAAGAGCTGGAATTCATGTGGAATTTTCCCCCCTTTAAAATTGCTATTTTCTAGATTTTTTTTTTTCTCATCGTTAGAGAACCAGAACTACTTAGCAATACTTGGACATTTGTGAAGCTGTCGATATTATTTCCTTTTCCTCTTTGAACAACTATTTACGTGCGAATGGCTTCAAAATCAGCATGACAGCCTTGGTCACCTGTACCACACTGTTCTGCTCACTTTCCAACAAATCCTGGTTCATCACTGACCATGAACTCTGGAGTTTTGCCTGCTCTCTCCTGATCCATTACTCTGAACCATGCTTTTGTCTCCACATTGACTTAATTTATAAAGTCTTTTGCCATTAAGTGGCCTTTAGTGATTCCACTTGCTTACAGTGAGAAGCAGAGGATAGCAGGAAGATTTTCATACTTAAAAAAAAAAAAAGTAACAGACAAGCGGAGCTGAGGGGAAAGGATGCGGATGGCGCTAGTCTGTCACAGGGGCTGTCTCAGGGATCCACCTTTTTCTGTCTTGACTCTGTGTGCCTGTGTTAAAGTGGGGGACTGAGGTAGGTGCTGTCACACACACAAGCAATTCCCAAAGACTCAAGTAGAGCAAAGACCCAAAGGAACTGAAAATAGAAAATAAAACAGGGGACTCTGATTTGCTCTCCACTTATATCACACACCCTCTCCTCCTCCTCCAAGTATTTAAACGGACTAGGGGAGGGGCATGGGAGAAGGGGGACGGAAGGTGAGGTTGGGCGGCATGAGGGAGGAGGATACGGCTGGGATACAAAGTGAATACATCATAATAAATGAAAAATAAATAAAAGGAAAAAAATGTTTGACATAGCTATGGACTCAGAGCAACATTGTGACACACCACAACTATATGAATGAAGGCAAGGAGGTGAAATGTTATATGGAAACAGATTTTGGTTGGCAGATGATGTTCCCCGTGGAAGCCTCACTACATCAAAATGAATGTCACTGTTTGTGGAGTTTCTGTGGGCAGTGTTTGGTGAAACAGCTTCTAATGGGGCTTTACCTACTTTTTAGGACTTTGTTGCCTTTAAATTTGCTTGCTTAATAAGCAAAAAACCAAAAAAACAAAAACAACCCAGCCAGTAAGTATAGTTTATTATAAAAATTCTCTGAGTCCTTGGGGACCAATATAGATGTTATAAATAGAAATTTTTAAATATCTATGGGGTGTTGTGATTTTCTGTCTTCATACTTAACGAGAACTCTAAGTTGAGTATACTACCTTGTTTCATAGTTTGGGAGATTAGGATATTGTATCCCTTGGTTATCTCTTATTTCTGTTTACTTTTGAAGGACTATGGAGGTTGTGAGAATTTGGATTTGTTCTCTGTGCTATAATAAATCTGTGCTATCATGTGTATGGGTGTGTGCGTTTCATTTTAGAACTTTACACATGCTTTTGTTTGCATGTATAGGAAATCATATATCTGAACACTCTCTAAGTCAAAGCACTTGGCTCATTCATTATATACTTCCTGTATTCAGAGTACTGTGTTGAGCTGGCCATGGTGGCACATGCCTTTAATACCAGCACTCGGGAGGTAAAAGCAGGTAGATCTCTGCCTGTCTGAGGCTAGTCTGGGCTACAAATTGAGTCCAGGACAGCCAGGACATCACACAAAGTGTAATGAAAAACATTATATTTTGAAAAACCAAAAAAACAAACAAAAATAAAAAACAGAGCACTGTGCTGGACATGAGTTGTTCAAAATGCTCATTGGAACCTCCTGTATCTTATCACCCTGCAGATGAACGTTTAGACAGCTCAGTACTGGTGCCACGGAAGGCAACGTTCACAAATTCACAAATTCAGAACATACTACGAGAGACACGTTTGTATTCTGTAAAATGCATGTAATTCAAAATGGAGAGTGGGTTAGTAGACCAGATGTCTGCAGTGGCTGCAGGTAACAAGGAGCTGGAGACATCTGAATAGTTAGGAGCACTTAATGTTTTTGCAGAGGACCTGGGTTTGGCTCCCAGATGGCAGCTCACACTGTCTGTAACTCTAGTTCCAAAGGATCCCATGCTCTTCTTCTTCTTCTGGCCTCCATAGGCATCAGGCAAGCCCATTGCGCACATACACGCCTGCAAACAAACACACACGCACATAAAATAAATGACTTCGAAACTTAAAAAAGAAATTTGTCCCGTGCAACTGAAATGGAAGTTTCTAGGTAATGATCATCTACACTTCTTAAAACAACCGAGAGAAGGTCCATGGGGGAAGTTAGGAATGGTGACTGAGGCTGATACAGTCTGAACCTACGGATCATTTCAAAGCCAATAGAAGCTGCGATGCTGAAGCGCTGAGGTAGCTTTTAACATGCTATGGTACTATGAAATCTACTTGCCCGAGTTTGTGTTTTGAACTAGAACCTAAAGGCCTGTTTCTAAATTAGCTGTAGTAATAACAACAACAAATCATTCTTCGGATAAAGGAAAATGTTAACAGGTACAAGCTGGATTTAATCAGCCAGATACAAGGTATGAAAGCATAGGGATTTCATAAGACAAGTGGCCCCATTTATTCATCAAAAATGACCCTAAAGGAAAGACAGCCAAAAGACAAAGAGGGGCCGAGGATTCCAGTGGAAGAGGACCTGCAGAGAGTGGCCTGCCCTTCATCCCCTGCACCACCAAGAAGAAACTAAGACAAAGACATGGGAGGGAGTTCTAGTAGCTCAAGAAAAACCTACATTTTAACAATCCAGTATTTGGACTGTAGTTATGAGAGGCTCTGGATAAAACCCTGCAGAGGAAGCCTGAGCTCCCTGCCACCGTTTAACTACTTCCTTCTTGCAGGAAGCAGTTGGGAGAACAGGAAGTGGTTATTCGGTGCCTTTCTACAGCACGGTGCTAGGTAGGCAAGTGCTCGGAAGAGGATGAGCACAGAGACAGAATGCCTTTATTCGTATGATCCTGGGGTCCACACAAGGCAAACTGTGAGTCTGTTCGCTACCAACAGACTTTCCCAGGAGTTCTGCACAGCAGCTTCCACCATATCTCAGTGATCAAGAGCACTTCATGACTGTCCGTGGTTACCAGGGAAACTGGGAAATGTAATTTTCTAGAATCTCTAATAAGATTTGATTCTGTGAGTAAGCGAGGTAAGATATAAGGTCTGTACAGGCAAACGATGGAACCTTGCCTATTGAGAATTGCCGTCACGAGAAGCCACTCAGCTATAGAAATGCAGCAAATTAACTTGTTGGCCAAACCTGATTTGAATACTCAGAGGCTAATTTTCTCTTTGCTCATCCATGCCAGGTGAATATACATATATTTCAGGGCAGAAATATGAATGTGTTTCCTATTGACTGCTACCCAAACAAATCTCTACCGTGGGCTTTTTTTTTTTCCACATCTAACTCAGATTTATAAGCAAGGGGAGGAATTAGAGGGATTTCAATTGTTGTATCATTATGATATGTGTAGCACACAGCTTTCTACAGCACCACCCAGGAAACCTTGTTTATTTTGTTTTATTTTTTTTTTTTTTAATTTTCTCTAAACTTTAAAAAAAAAAGAAGGTGGGAAATCTTTTGCTTGAAAATAAAGAAAAGGTAAAAAGTAGAAAATTATTCACAGTGCTTGATTTTACTTTCATTTTGTCTCTTTCATTGTGTTGCTGGTAGGAAGATGAATAGTAATAACGAATCTGAAATAGTATACCTGCCACAGTGTTGAGAGAGGTTCACAAGCAGACTGGCCACGAGCTACCGTCACCTGATGTGATGTTACCATCGTGAACTGTATATATGTATGGCATATTCTCATCAGAAACAGCCTACATCCCTTTTATTTGGAAGAAACGTTTAGCTTATTTTTTTGTTATAAAACATTATTACAAGATGTATGAGGAAATATAATCTCATTTCATAGTTGAGATAATACTTTCTGTATTTTTGTAAATCTAAGCATCTTACTTACATGTTTCTTTTTATTTTTTATTATTTAAAACAATTTTAAATTTAAATGTATTTTGACCATATTCTTCCCCTCCCCCAAGTTTGTCCGGATCTTCTCCTCCTCCTTCCCCCCTAACTTTACATTTTCTTCAAAAACAACACACAAACCTAATACAACAAAGCATCCAAAACCTAGAAAACAAAATACAACATTCCCGCCCTGCAAAAATAAAAAATAAAAAACTCCACCAAACTGTAACTAAATAAAAGGACACATAAAACAAGCACACAAACAAACTGTGGAGCCCATTATTTGTTGCTCAACTGCTTCTGCACACGACACCTGCCCTGGAGTGGTGACCACTGTCACTCCTTTGGAAAAAAAACTTATTTTCCCTCTCAGCATGTATAAATGACAGTTCAGAAACCTTTACCCTAACGTGGCTAGGTTTACATTCATTCAGTCCTTTGTTATTTTTAATAGTACAAAATGAAATATAATGAGGTAAAACAAAAACCATCTCTTGGAAGTTGGACCAGATGGAAGGGAAAGAGACCGTGAAAAGGGACAGGAATGGGAGACCCAGTTGTTTGCACACTCAGAGAGCCCATAAAAACACTGAACTAGAAGCCATAACATAAGCACCTGGGGCAGACCAATGTGGGCCCTGTGCATGCTACTTCAGTTTCTGTGAGCTCACGTGATTTAGAGGGCTTTGTTTTCTTGGTGTCCTGCACCCCCTCTGGCTCTCAGTCACTTCTGCCTTCTCTTCCACGGGCTTGGTTTCCTGCGATCTGAGGGGAGGGTGTTGGTAGAGACCGCCCATTAAGGTGGTTCCCTAGCTCTCTGTGTAATGTCTGAAGAGACAACCTACATCCTTTTCCATCTTCCCCTGAGCAGCCTGTCTCTGTGTGGGCAGATAAAGAGCAGCACCTGAAGATGTTGAGAGATGCCTGAGGTTCTACAAGCCCAGCAATCCTTTGCATGTTCCCCGGTTGTGTCTTCGGAAAGACAACATTATCATAAGTATGGAGCACTTAGCCAGGCAGAGATAAAAGAGCCTGGTGGATGAGTCAAAGTCATGACAGAATAGCTGAGGCAATTAACTTGCAGGGAGAAAGATTTATTTTGGCTCATGACTCTGGATGTTCCAGTCCAAGATAAGGCGTTCTCTGCTTTGGCACTCTGGCGAGAATGGCATGTGACAGCAGGAATGCATGGCAGAGTAAAGTAGTTATGGTTCAAGCCGGGAATCTGAGAGAGAATGGGGCTCCACGATTCTCCTCAAAGGCATGTCCCAGATGACCTAAGGACTTTGAAAAGTCTGCTGTCCCTCCCAATACTACTACCACCAGGGAATCAAGCCTTTGACAAATGGATGGTTGGGGAGCACAGACCCAAATCATAGCACCTGGATTTCTGGGTTTAGGTAGGTCCCAATATAGAAAGGAGCTGCTGAGTCCACTGAGAATCTGAGTCCACAAGGGACAAACAAATGAAAGGAGCCTCCAAGGTCAGAAATGAAAGCAGGCTATAGAAATAGAGAAAAGTCTTTTTTTTTTTTTTTTAAGTCTTGGACCAAGGAATTCTTAAACAAACATTACAGGAGGGTTGGAGAGATGGCTCAGTGGTTGAGCGTGCTCGCTGCTCTTTCAGAGGACCAGAGGTCAGTGTCCAGCATCATGACCATGTTGATGACCCATAACTTCCTATAACTACAGCTTGAGGGGGTCTGACACCTGCCCTTTGCAGGCACCCACATATGTACAAATACCACATACACATACAGCACACCACACACACACACACGTAAATAAATAAAAATACAGGGGGCCATTATTTGGGCTCAAGTTAATTTTTTTTATACTTTATATATATATTTTTTACATACGTGAGTGTTGCCAGAGTGTACATATGTGTGTCATGTGTGTGCCTGGTGCCTGCAGAGGCCGGGAGCACTGGATCCCCGGGGTTTAGGAGTACAGATGGTAATGAGCAGCCATGTGAGTGCTGGGGATCAGACCTGGGTCCTTCAGAAGAGCAGCCAGGGCTCTTCACTGATGAGCCATCTCTCTAGTCCTGGGGAGAGCCATCTTAACTGTGGGGAAGGCTGTCTCCAGGACACGGGATCCTGAACTGTGACCCAGAGCCAAGTCCTTTCAACTGTAAGTGCTCCTGTTGGAGTGTTTTAGCATGGGAACAAGGGCAGACTAACCAAGCAGATCTGTGTCTGATGCCCTGTCTCCCTGACTCTGAATCACTAGCACCCAAAGTGCCAGCTTGCCTTCTGACCCTCGCTGCAGCCTGTATTTGTCTGTGGAATAACTTCTCAGATCACTAGTACACCTGCTCTATGTTATGATATGAAGCGCTGCTTGATTCCAGCCTACAGAATAAATGCAGCGAAGAGCTTTAAACTAAATTGATTTAATGTTGTCCTTC